TCGCGAAAGCTGAAACCCGAATCGAGAAAGCTGAAACCCGAATCAACCAAGTGGGACAACGTGATGGCTGACGTGAAGAAAACGCTGGACGACCTCAAACTGGGGTATGGAATTACAGCTCCCGTAGTAGCTACAACACGTTCGCTACATGGGTTCAAAGTGCCACCGTTCGACGGGACTTCTACCTGGTCAGCTTACAAAATCCAGTTTGAAGCCGTTACGAAGGCGAACGGCTAGAATAAAAGTCAGGGCACGACTGCTCTCACACTAGGCCTGCGCGATCAGGCCTTAACTGTTCTGGAAGCCCTCGGTGAGGAGGTGACTTAAGAGCAGCTCCTTGAGGCATTGGAGGCGAGATATGGCGACGCTCACCTGGAACACGTCTTTCGAGCGCAGCTCAAAGATCGCGTGCAGCGCATCAATGAAAACCTCCAGCAGTGGGCTCTAGAGGTGGAGAAGCTGGTGCGAAAAGTATACCGGTCTATACCTGCGCTCATTGAAGGGAACCTGGTGCAGACATTCATCGACGGCATCCGCGACCTTGAAGTCAGAGCTGCTGTGAGGCTGGGGCACCACGAAACGCTTAAGGACGCATTGGTCCATGCACTGGAGGTGGAAGCCGTGCGACAGGATCATCGTTCCCATCGCGTCAGGGAGGTTGCAGCAGCTACGGTTCGCGACCGCAATAAAGGATACAGCCCAAGGTGCTATGGCTGTGGGGAAAGGGGCCATCTTCGATCCAGCTGCCCTAAGCGTACCGTAGAAAGGGAAGGTGAACGATATCAGGAGGGTGTGCGGCACACCCCCAGCAGCAAAAAAACAACCGCGGGCTGGCTGATGTTAAAAGAGCCCCAAGGATCTCGATCTCACAAACCCATGATTGGAACAGTCTGATCATCAAGGGCGAGGTCAACGGAATGCCGCGTAAACTGACCATAGATACTGGAGCCTCTCATGCGGTTGTTAGTTCCCAACTTATAAGTCAGTTCCTTGGGGATTTCGCAAATAACCGAGAACGCATTAATTTGGTAACAGCCACCGGTCAGCGTATACCCGTCCGTGGAGAGAAACAGATGGAGTTGAAGCTAGGCAACGTGATCTACCTGCATAATGTCATCGTGGCTGATATAATGGACGACTGCATCCTGGGCCTGACTGACTGACTGACTTCATGAGGAAGAATTGTTGTGCGATTGACGTTAAGCAAGGTGTTTTGAAGTGTGGGCAAGAGGAACTTTTTGTGGAAGGGGCGTTACCAGGGAACGTGTTCAGCCTTAAGAAGATTGTTCTTCCGCCGAGATCGGAAACGATTGCACCGATTAGTCTTCCTCGGAATCCTGGACAACCTCATCGTTGTGTACTCGTGGAAAGGTTAGACAATGACCTTCCATGAAAAGTGGCTCCAACCTTGGTCAGGAAAACTAACATCTCAGGAGTACGTGTGCTGAACCTTTTTGACCAGGAACAGATTATAGAAAAAGGCACACTGGTTGGTACTTGTGAGGAAGTGGATTGGCTACGTCGGTGCCAATATCTATCGACTGGGACCCCCAGCAAGGATGCACAAAAAAGAGTGAGCACACTTTTAGAACACTGTCGCAGCGTTCTCTCCACGAACGAAATGGTCAAGGCAAAGAAGTTGTTACTCAAGCACGCCGACGTATTCTCATCAAACGATGCTGACATAGGAAAGACTGGCTTAGGTCAACACAAAATAGAGACAGGAGAAGAATTGCCTATCCGTCAGCGGCCAAGAAGATTGCCAGTAGCACGTGAAAAGGAAGTAGAAACCATGATTGAAGGAATAGTGAAGGACGGTATTAATGAACCTTCCTCTAGTCCATGGTGTTCACCCGTGGTGCTGGTAAAGAAGAAGGATGGCAGCATGCGGTTTTGTGTTGACTACCGCCGTCTGAACGATGTTACGAAGAAGGACAGCTATCCCTTGCCAAGAATTGATGACACGCTGGACATGCTTACAGGAGTAAAGTGGTTTAGCACGCTGGATATAAAAAGTGGCTACTAGCAAGTTGAAATTGACCCTAAGGACAAGGAGAAAACTGCGTTCTCCACGGTAAAGAGTCTGTGGCAATTTAAAGTAATGCCGTTTGGGTTGCGCAATGCTCCAGCAATGTTTGAAAGGCTGATGGAACTTGTACTTACCGGGCTAATTGGCGATGCCTGTCTGGTCTACTTGGATGACATCATCATCGTGGGCCGTACGTTTGAGGAACACCTTCAAAACCTGGAACACGTGCTTATGAAGATTCAGAGTGCCAACCTCAAATTGAGTCCGAAGAAACGTTCACTATTCAAACGGCAAGTCAACTTTTTGGGGTATGTAGTGTCGGAAGAAGGTATCCGCATGGATCCAGAGAAAATCGCAGCTGTCAAGGATTCGCTGGTTCCAAAAGACAAGACGCAGGTTAGAGCATTTTTGGGTTTGTGCTCCTATTACCGGCGATTTGTGAAGAACTTTGCAGATATAGCCAAACCTCTGCATAAGCTAACCGAGGAGAAGCAACATTTCTGCTGGGATGAAAGTTACAATATCGCATTCCAGGAGCTCAAGGACCGTCTGTGCAAAAAACCTATTTTGGGATACCCTGATGCTATCAAAGAATTTATAGTTGACACAGACGCAAGTGATACAGGACTTGGCGGTGTGTTGTCTCAACGGAATGGTGACCAAGAAGTCGTGATAACGTACTTCAGCAAGTCGTAATCAAAACCGGAAAGGAACTATTGTGTCACAAGACGCGAATTGCTAGCTCTGGTAAAGTCGTTGCAGCATTTTAGCAAATATCTTCTGGGGCGAAAATTTTACTTACGAACTAACCATGCTTACTAAAATGGCTATTGCAGTTTAAAAATCCAGAAGGACAAGTTGGGAGGTGGATTGAACTACTGCAGGAATACGACTTTGAGATAGAACATCGCAGCGGGAAATCTCATGGCAACGCAGATGCATTGTCAAGAAGACCTTGTCCTGAAGATTGCAAACATTGTACTAGGCAAGAGAGTAAGGAAGTGGTATCCGTGAGGATGCTCAGGGCAGACCACCTCAGCAACGAGTGGAAGGACAGCTTACAACGTGCACAGCAGGAAGATCCAGACATCAAGCCGATTCTGGAATGGATGAAGGCCAGTGCTCCCAAGCCCAAGTGGAGAGACGTCTCAGCGATAAGTTCGAACACTAAAAGCTATTGGGCCCAGGGGGACAGCTTGCTGCTTCAGGATGGAGTTCTGTGCCGTAAATGGGAGAAATTTTCCCATGGGGAGACAGCTGTCATTTGCAAATGGTTGTCCCTAAAGCTAAAGTACCGGATGTTCTACAGCTGTACCATGATGATTATTCAGGAGGCCATCTGGGAGTTAAAAGAACTCTACTGAAGATCCGAGCACGGTTTTACTAGGTCTACTGTCGAAACGATGTCGAGGACTGGTGTCGCAAATGTACAAGTTGTGCAGCTGTAAAGGGACCTCAGACTCGTAGTAGAGGTGCATTGAAGTTGTACAATGTTGGTGCACCATGGGAGAGAATAGCCATTGACGTGGCGGGGCCGTTTCCGGAGAGTGAAAGCGGTAACAGGTATTTCATGGTTGTGATGGATTACTTCACTAAGTGGCCAGAAGTCTTGGCCATTCCAAATCTAGAAGCTTCAACAGTTGCAGATAAGCTAGTTCATGAAGTCTTCTGTCGTTTTGGAGTACCTTTAGAGATTCACAGCGATCAAGGAAGGAATTTTGAGTCTCAAATATTCCAGGAAACTTGCCGAGATATGGGTACTCATAAAACAAGAACGACTTCTTATCACCCGCAAACTGAACGATTTAATCAGACATTGGAGAGGTACCTAGCAAAAGTTGTAGACAATCGGAAACGAGATTGGGACCAGCACATACAACCGTTTTTGTTGTAATATCGAAGCGCTGTTCACGAAAGTACAGCAGTGACCCCAGCTTTCGCAAACTTTGGAAGAGAATTACGGCTGCCTGCGGACCTGATCACCGGGATACCACCTGATGCTCCACGCAGTATAACCGATTATGCAAATGACTTGCGGAATAAAATGAATGACATTTAAAAGCACGTCAGACAATCGGGCCAGCAAATGTCAGAATGTGAAATAGTGAGAAGATGAAAACCCGGTATGACTGCAAAATAAACAATAAAGGGCTCGACGAAGGTTCACTAGTGTGGTTGCACAATCCAGTCCGCAGCAAAGGGAAATCTCCTAAGCTTCAAGCTAAATGGGACGGCCCGTAGCGGATTGTAACCAGGATCAACATTGTAACCGATCGGATACAGAAAGGCGCAAGAGGGACTCCTAAGATCGTCCATGTGGATCGCTTGGCGCGTTATTATGGGGCTGATAATGCTCGGGACGAGCATGTCTTAGGAGGGGGCAGTGTTGCGCACCTAAGTTGACGTCATGTTGTGTCAGGGACGAGAGTGGGGGGGACTTTCCAGAAAATGACATCACTAATCTTTCAACCGACAGTGCCTTCTAGTGTCGAAACGAAGAACTAAGCTTCTAGAAGCCGACACTCGAACTTTCGACGCCTTGCGCGTATTTACTTGAATGTTCTGGATGTTTCGGTGCTAATTTGTATTTATAGGCGCTGCAAGGTGCGATCGGGGAAGTATTGAATTTAGCGAGACAAGCGAAGCTTCGGAGCGGAATAAAGTGAATTAGTATGATTAAGTCTTTTAGGTTTTAATTAGTGTAAAGTGAATTAAAGAGTTAATTTTGGTGATTCTATCGGCATTTTTTATTGTCACGAACCTCAAGCTCGTAACAATATCAATGGCGAGTACATCACTCATCTTCGATTTGCCGACGATATAGTCCTTATGGCAGAATCGCTGGAGGACCTCAGCATTAAACAAGGATTTAAACAAGGATATCGATACAAACTGACGCAACATTGACTCCGCCCTAACTACGAAGATAGATACCGTCAGCCTGCTAAGTATTTTATACCCACGTAATATAATGTCAACACAGCGTACTCCACCAAATACATTAAATTTATCTGCTAATAAAACCCGAATACAGCTACACGGATCGGATCCTCATCTTAATATTCATATGGAAAGTGATAATGAATGTAGCACTTTGACGAGAAGACAAAAAAGAAAGATTCCTGAGCCGAGTGAAGAATCGTCGTTAATGCAGGAATTGCGCCGTATGTTTAATGATTTTAATAAACAACAGAACCAAAAGATTGAAACTTTAATCACATCAATTAATGAGATCAAGCAGCAAAACGTCGAAATTCGTGAGTCCATTTCATTCCTATCTGCAAAGTATGACGATGTTTTAAAGGAATTAGAACATATCAAAGAAGAAAATAGTTTGAAAACCTGTCTCATAAACTCTCTTGAGCAGAAAATTGAACTTTTGGAACGTAATGCTAGATCCACGATGGCAGAAATAAAAAATATTCCACGAACCCAATATGAAAATAAAAATGAACTTATTTCCTTGGTAAAGAATTTGGGAGAAATTATTAATATGAAGATCCTCGACACGGACATAAAAGATGTTTTTCGGCAAAAGACTAAAAATAAGGAATTTAGCCCAATAATAATCGACTTTATGAAGCCAACCCTAAAGGAAAATTTTATACGATCTGCCAGATTGTACAATATAAACAATAAAACTCAACGCCTGAACACTGAACTTTTAAATATAGAAGGATCCTCCAAGTTCATTTTTATAGCGGAATACTTAACACCAAGGGCAAAAAGATTACACTATTTAGCCAGACAATTCGCGAAGGCTCACAACTATGATAGTTGCTGGACTTCTTATGGCAAAATATATCTACGCAAGAAAGACGGGATGCAAATAATTCATATTGAAAGTGAAGAACATCTATCAAAACTAAAGCTATGACTCTGTATGTATTTTAAGTTATTTTGTTCTAAATTATTAATCTTAGGTTTTGTTTTTAACTTTATATCGAATCCTTATTTTATTAACCTATACATACACGCAAAACATTTACACTACATAAAACACACTTTTAACTTTGTTTTTATATATGATTTGTCCAGTAATAATATTATAATATTACATAATACACAGGTGAGTAGCTTTATGTGTTCTATTAGAATTAATACAAGGATTTACCAAATATTTTTATTCCTAAATATTAAATATTTATTTAGTACTAAAGTATTCACGCACCTTAAAACTAAGTTCTTAATCAGTTTTTTACATCGAATACATGATGATGGATTGTACATGTTCAAAAAAATATTACAAAAGGCAAATTTAAGGAATATTATTAACGATCTAGACTCAATCAAAACAACAACCTCTTCATACTGCGATATAGAACACAGCTATAAACGTACTGCAACTAATCGCTTCACGTATCAGCCCATAAAACTACTAATGCAAAATGTGCGCAGTACTTAGAAAAAGTTTTTGTAATCTAATTACATTACTATCGAGGTCGAAAATTAGTTTTGACATAAAAATCGCGTTCTGTTTGTTTTTTATGTTATTTTGTTTTAAAATATTAGTCTTTAGTTTTATTGTTGATTTTATATCGAACACTTATTCTAATAACCAATACTTGCACCCAAAACATTTAAACTACATAAAACTCACTTTTAATTTTATTCTTATGCATGATTCGTCCAGTAATATTATTTTTAGTACTAAACATATGTTACAGGTGCATAGCTTTATGTATACTGTTAGAATTAAGAGAAGGATTTACCAAATATTTTTGTTTATAAATATAAAATATATTTTTAGTTCTAAAGTATTCATGCACCTTAAAACTAAGTTTTTAATCAGTTTTTTACATCGAATTCATGATGAAAGATTGTATTTGTTTAAAAAAATATTACAAAAGTCGAAAATATAAGGAATATAATTAACGATTTAGATACAGTAACAACAGCGAACTCCTCATACTGCGATATAGAACACTGCTATAAGCATATTACAGGTAATAACCATCAACCCTTAAAACTTTTAATGCAGAATGTGCGCAGCATTAGAAAAAATTACGATAATCTAATTACATTACTAACAAGATCTAAAATTATTTTTGACATAATAATCGCGACTGAATGTTGGTTACAAAGTTCTCAAATAATACCTCCTATTGAAGGCTACAGTTATAGTTACACGCTAAATAACAATACACAAAATGAAGGAGTGATAATTTATAGTAAAATTAATTTAAATATATCTATTAGTGAACCAAACTTTATCGGCGCTAACTGTTTACTAGCTAAGCTAAATAACGATACAATTATTGTGGCACTTTATAGGCCTCCTAGTCAAAGAGACGTTACAAAATTTATTGAATCTCTTAATTATTTATTACAGAAAATATGTTTATATAAAAATATAATTATCGCAGGCGATATTAATATTGATATTTGTGAACAGAACAAAGATACTCATGCCGAAAACTACTTGAACTTATTAGCGTCATTTGGTATCCTTTCTGCACATACATTGCCCACTCACAATCGAACCTGCTTGGATCATATTATGTTAAAAACGAATTACAAAGCAATCTGCTGTGTTTCTCAGACAACAATTACAGATCATGACTGTGTTATCTTACTTTTAAATTTAAAAAATAATAATTATTGCACTAATTTGACTAAGAAAATCACTAATTACAATAATGTATACTTAGAAATAAAAAAGACTGACTTTTCACCAATTTTTAATATGTTTGATGTTAATGTTGCGACTGATTATCTGGTAAATTCACTATCTAATATTATTGATTCACACACCAAAACAATTAATATATCACAGCGAAAAATCATAAGAAAACCATGGATAACACCAGGACTTTTAAGATGCGTTAGAAATAGGGATAATCTCCATAAAAAGGTCAGAAAACATCCAAATAATGAAGTCTTAAATTTGACATATAAAAGATACAGAAATTTTTGTGGCAAAATATTAGCTAATATAAAAAAAGACTATGAAAAAATGAGATATCTAAAACAAGTAATAATACTAAATTATTATGGGAAACCATAAAAAAGATAACACATTCAAAGAAAGCTAAAGAATCACCGACTGAATTATTATCAATATCAGATGACCCAAAAACCTCAGTAAATAAAATTAACTCATACTTTGTTAATGTAGGTCAAAACTTAGCTAGAGAGATCATTCAATTAAATAAAATAACCCGTACAGAAATAGGCCACTTTTCAAAATCTATTGTTTTATTGCAAACGGATGAGAAGGAAATGGATCTACTTATATCGAATCTAAAGTCAGGTTGTGCAGTAGGACTGGATAATATCACAAGTGACCTGCTTAAACATAACAAGAATTTACTTTGCAAACCCATAACTCACATTTGTAATTTAGCTATAACCACTGGTAAGTTTCCAACAGTTTTTAAAAAATCGATTACAATACCTATTCTAAAGAGTGGAGATAAACATAGTTTAAACAATTATAGACCGATTTCCTTGCTCCCAACAATGTCAAAAATCTTAGAGCGCTTAATTAATACAAGACTTACTAATTATCTAGAAAGTAATAAATTATTATCACAATATCAATTTGGTTTTCGCCCCAATAAATCAACGGCAGATGCCGTACATGAACTCACTGTTTTTGTCGTAAATAATCTTGATAAGAAACAAAAAGTCTTAGCTATATTCTTAGATCTAGCAAAAGCGTTTGACACCGTCTACATCCCACTGCTTGTGAACAAATTAGATTATATGGGCATTAGAGGCATACCTTTAGATCTTATAAAAGACTATCTAACAAATAGAACTCAGCAAGTTAGGGTTGATAATCATGTTAGTGAAGCACTTAACATATCATTTGGCGTACCACAAGGAAGTGTACTCGGTCCTACACTGTTTTTAACATACATTAACGATCTCCTCAATATTAAAGTTACACAAGGTAAGATCCTAAGTTTTGCTGACGATACAGCCCTCATTTTGATGCAAATACGTGGCAAGAAGTATATGCAAACGCTTAAGAAGGCTTAAATAAAGTATCTGACTGGCTAAAAAACAACATTTTAACATTAAATATACAAAAAACAAAATATATGACTTTTACCATGCGTTCAACAAATAACATTAACTCCCAATATTCATTAAGAGTACATACATGTTCAAAGCTGAAAACATCACAATGTCATTGCAGTGTTATTGAGAGAGTAGATAATACAAAATATCTTGGTGTAATTATTGATAACAAACTCAGTTTTCATAGCCACATAAACATGTTAACAACTAGAGTAAGAAAGTTAATATACATTTTCAAAAACCTTAGGCACATAGCTGACTCAAAAGTCATCAAAATAATTTACTTTGCCTTATGTCAATCTATTATCACATACTGCATAACAACTTGGGGTGGTTCTGAAAGGACAAAAATAATAAAACTGGAACGAGCACAGAGAGCTATACTAAAAGTATCCGCCTCACTTCCCTTTCTTTACCCTACTGTCGACCTATACAAACATTGGAAAGTCCTATCTGTCAGGCAGCTCTTTATTTTACATTGTATCATTAAAAAGCACTCACTCTTACACTATAACTTACAATTGATAAAAGATAAGCGCAGAAATGATCTAGTCTGTTACTACAACACACATTGCACCAAATTTACTCATAAATTTTTTATCTTTCTGGGTAATTTTCTATATAATGAAGTAAACGCTAGAATTGGTATATATCCTCTTAATAAACGCACTTGCAAATTAAAAGTAACTCAATGGTTGTTAAGTCTGGACTATGACACCACTGAAAACCTTCTTATTTCATATACATAGTTTTAGTACTGGATAGATCATACATACATACACAACTTACAGTTACACACACACACACACACACACACACACACACACACACAACACAACACAAAAGTAACTAATAATACAATATCTCTCAATTGTTAATCAAACAAATAACTTGTTAAGTTATGTTGATAATATCCTGAGGGGGAGACCCTGGTGATCCGTAACACAGGCTTCCGCCTAGTATAGACACCAGACTCTCAGCCCATAGTGTACACTGTTTATACTCTAACTTGTAAATCTAAATTGTGAGAGTAAATAAAAAAATATATATTATTATATTATTATTATTATAAAAAAAAAAAAAAAAAATATGTGCTCAATGACCTCAATGGTGTCTCCCAACGGATAGGTCTTAAGATGAATATGGACAACACAAAGATCATGTTTAATGTCCATGTCAAACCTATGCCGGTAGTTGTTGGGATCACTATGCTCGAAGTTGTTGACGAGTACGTTTACTTGGGACAAATAATAAATATAAGTCCAACTTCGACCAAGAGGTCAATCGACGGATTCAACTCGGCTGGGCAGCGTTCGGGAAATTACGACACATCTTCTTGTCAGGTATACCTCAATCTCTTAAAACTAAAGTGTACAACCAGTGCGTGTTGCCAGTGATGTCTTACGGATCTGAGACGTGGTCCTTCACTGCTGGCCGTATGAGGACGCTCAAGGTCGCTCAGTGAGCTATGGAGAGGGCTATGCTCGGAGTTTCTCTGCGTGATAGACTCAGAAATGAGGATATTCGCAGTGAAACTAGAGTGGCCGACATAGCCCAACGGATTAGTAAGCTGAAGTGGCAATGGGCCGGCCATATAGCTCGAAGAACCGATAACTGATTGGGAAGAAAGGTTCTCGAGTGGCAGCCTCGTACCGGTAGGCGTAGTGTAGGGTGACCCCCCACTAGATGGAGTGACGACCTGGTAAGACATGCAGGAAGTCGATGGATGCAGGTGGCTCAGGACCGTGCTTTGTGGCATTACTTGGGGGAGGCCATAGAGAAATGATGATGATGATGATGAAAATGCACCAGTCTGTCAGTTGCTTCGTGTCAATTTGTCTCAATTGCAGCGGGTGAATGGTGTTGGCATGTCGAAGTATCTCGCAATTATTAAATATTCTCTGAGTTTCATTCATGATTCATGTTACCTCAGTATCAGCGGCTGGAGGGGACAAACATGTCTTTGCGAGTAATGTCGCTGAGCTTTCGTTTTTGGTGTTGAATCTGTTGTCACGGTGTCAGCGACTGCAAGGGGCCAATATGTGTGTGGATCCGATTTAGTTGGCTTGGGCAAAAATGAAAAGAATTGCATGATTGTCACAATGTCAATTCAGATTTAACTTTAACAAAACTTAAAGATGTGTATGATGTAATATCGAGCTAGCACTTAGTCAGATCACAGATGATGATTGGCGCGGCCTTGACGATCACGTTAGCTTAGAACAAAATTATTGCAAAGAGATGTTTTTATTGAAGAAACTATTGATCGATTTGCGATAGAGATCGGTAAAAGAGCGGATAGTGGTTTTTTTTATATGATAGTGTGACAAACGAGCACACAGTCCACTTGATGGTAAGTAAGTGGATGCTGTGGCCCCTAGACATCTACATATATCCTCCATTACGAATCAAAATGTAGATGCGTTGTCACCCCTGAGGACTAAGATGGAATGCCTCGTTTCCAGTAAAAAGGATCTCCGGTTCTCTACATTCACCAAACGAAACACAACAGCATTTAGCTGCTATTTTACGCTGGTGTTCTGTGAGAGCGTGGTCCTTTCTCAGTCGAGCCGACCCATTCGTGATACAACTATACTACTAAAATAAATGCAGCATGGCTCTACCACGTACAAAAAATTGATTAACCCTTATGTGAGTGACAAATAAAACACCTTTAACAGAGTGACGAGGTACCCGGGTACCTTCATACAGTGTATACGTAATGTAAACAATCAAGATCTAGTTTTGTGTTACACATACTTTGAATATTATTACTTTAGCTAAGCTAAACAGTTGACAACCTGTAGCGATAAAAGCGGAGAAAAAGTGGAGTGCGGTACATGGTTATCGGCGCGCAAGAAACACTGAATACATTCAGTGCATCGTGCTTGACATTTGACTGTATACGTATGTTTCTATTGTACGAGCATATTTGTATTTTGTGAGTTATTATATTATTCATAATGAAATATTTATAATTATTTCATTATGAATATTGGAGCGAGTACTTCTTAACAAAGATCACGTGTTCGAAGATATAATTCAACAGAATTACTAGAGATATCAGCAGAATCTTCTAGTGACGAAGGGGAGTTTGTTGCTTCTGATAATGAACATGGTTATATTCCTTTAGTTGAAGAGGGTAGATTGGAAATTTTGGATGTTGAGCCAGAATCTGAAGTCGAAAATGAGATTGATTCTTATGATTTCGATGCGAGTTTTGAAGGGGAATCGCTTGAAAATATTCTTATCGTAAAAGATGGAATGCGGTGGCAGTCTGAACCACTTCCCAGAACACAAACTAGTAGCAGAAATATTATTCATCAACGGGGCGGGGCTGGATTATTCAGCAAACTTTACAATCAAATGGAAATATTCAAAAATATATTGTCCAATGAAATGCGTGACTTAATCTTGAGGGAAACTAATCGGAAAGGGACAAAGATTACTGAAGCATACAATAATAAACGGGTGGAAAATTACTCTGATATTAATAAGCGACCGAAACAAAAAATATTCAAACCATTCACAAAACAAGAATTGGATGCATTTTTTGTTATTCTAATTTTTAGTGGGGTGCATAGATCTAATAAAGGCATTTGACTGAACTGTGGAAATCCAGTCACTTACCATTATTTCGGGCTGCGATGTCCCATGATAGATTGAAAATGCTGCTACGCTTCATAAGGTTTGATAAAGCCGCTGCTATACGAGATATTTGAACTATGTTCATTTAAAATTTGAATAAAAACTACAAGCCTCGTGGATGTATTACCGTTGACGAACAGCTATATGGATATCGTGGGCGGACTCGCTTTACTCAATACATGCCATCAAAACCTGAAAAGTATGGCATTAAAATATCCTGGGCTTGTGATGAAAATAATTCCTACCCCCTAAATGGACAAATATATGCAGGAAAGTCAAGTGTTGGAATTCGTCAAACAAATGTAAGAGAATGCACTGTGTTAGATCTCGTGGCTAAATATAAAAATTTAGGGCTGAATGTAACTACGGATAATTTTTTTACGTTGCTTCAACTGGCTCATTCCTTGAATTCGTGGAATATGACACTAGTTGGAATGGTAAAAAAAAAATAAACGGTTTCTTCCTGCAAATATGCAAGCACACAAGGAGAGGGCTGTTTATTCTTCTAATTTCGCATTTAGCAAAGAAGCAACTGTGTGCTCTTACGTACCTAAAAAGAATAAAGCAGTAATAATAATAATAATAATAAAACAACAAAAAAAACTATTTTAACAGTAGCATCAATGAATATTCTATGTAAAGATTATTTTGAAAAAAGTAACTCTATTTTGGAAACTATGTCTCTTCTATAGAAGAGACATAGTTTCCAAAATACTGTTATACAGTATACTGTTGTGCCCATGCTATATGTATGATAATGAAAATTCCTGTCATTTCAGTACAAAATTTTAAGAAAAATAATACAGAACCTAAATGGAAACAAAGAATTCAAAAACGAATTGACAATACTCGCAAAATTATAGGAAAATTAATAAGCTACCAAACAGGTAACAGACGTAAAAAAATAATTACTTTAGTAAATAAAATCGCTAATGAAAATGATATTAGCCAATCAGATCCCCATTTTCCGGATAAAATTACTGAATTCATTGATACACAAAAACAAAAGTTAAAAGCATGGGCCAACCGTATTAGACGATATTCAGAAAGATCTAAACGGTACTTCCAGAATCGCACATTCGAAAGTAACCAAAAGAGGGTGTATCGGTCTTGGGAGAACACTATAACTAATAGTTGTACTCATGGCAGCCCAAGCTTAAATGAATGTCTAAATTTTTGGAAAAGTATGTGGTCTAACAAAGTTTCTCATAATGAAGGTGATTGGATTCGTGCAACCGAACGTAAGTTTTCTAATTTGGCTAACATGGGTTCTATTTCAATTACTGCTGAAGATGTACACTCAATTACTCGTAGATTACACAATTGGAAATCACCTGGACCAGATGGTATACACAACTTTTGGCTGAAATGGATAACAAGTAGCCACGTGCGTTTGGCTGCACAGATTCAAGAAGCCATTGAGTGTTGTGAGCTCCCGAGACTTCTTACAACTGGTATTACCCACTTACTATATAAAAATGGAAACACCACTGAACCTAAAAATTACCGACCTATAACATGCCTTTCAACTGTATATAAATTAATAACTGCAATTTTGAATAACAAGATCTATAAACATTTGGAAAATAATAACATTCTTTCAACTGCACAGAACGGATGTCGGAAAGGGTCACGTGGTTGTAAAGAACTTCTTCTCATTGACACTGCTATTTGCCGACAAGTCTATCGTAATCGCAAAAATATGTCCGCTGCTTGGGTGGATTACAAAAAGGCATATGACTCTGTTCCACATTCATGGCTAAAGAGAGTTTTACAAATATATAAAATAGATGACAAAATTTGTAAGTTTTTAAGTAAATTAATGGGTCAGTGGAACACTATCCTAAATCTACCAGGTGAGTGGCAAAGTAGTTCGATAGACTCTATAAATATTAAACGGGGTATATTCCAGGGAGATAGTTTGAGCCCAACTTCGTTTTGTTTAGCTCTGAAAAGCACTGCTATTGAGGAATCCAGATTAGGGTTTCGGTTTCGAAAAGAAAACTCACCGATCTCACATCTACTTTATATGGATGATCTCAAACTATTCACTTCAAAAGAGAGTAATCTACTATTATTGTTGAAATTAACACATAGTTTCAACAATGATATTAGAATGGAATTTGGAATAGATAAATGTGCTGTCATCAACGTAAATAGGGGCAAAATTAAAGATTGTAATAAATTTGCAATTACAAATGACTTACACTTCAGTTCTCTTTCTGAAACAGAAACCTATAAATACTTGGGCATGGCAGAAGCACTAGGAATTAATGACAAAAATATTAAAGAAAATTCAAAAATAAAATTTATGTCAAGATTAAAAAAAAGTTATCAAAAGTCTTTTATCCGGGGGGAAACAAAATTAGAGCATATAACTCCTGGGTAATACCTAGCCTTCTATATACTTTTGGTGTTACAAGGTGGTCTCAAACAGAATTGGATGACTTAGATAGACGAGTCCGTACATTAATGACTACACACAGAATGCACCACCCACGATCATCTGTCATAAGGTTGTATCTTCCAAGAAAATATGGTGGACGGGGCTTATTAAACATTAAAAACCTGCACAACCGTGAAGTATACAACCTCAGAGACTATTTTATTAAAAAAAAGACACATCACACATTCATAATGACGTAGTGATTAATGACAAATCGTTAACCCCGCTTAATATGTCGGCAAAGGACTGGCAGAGGCCTCATACTATGACTATGGATGAACGCAAAAAGGTTTGGAATGACAAACAACTGCATGGTCGATTTTTTAAAGCATTGACTAATCCTTGTGTAGACATGGTTGCATCAGTACATTGGTTACAATTTGGTGACCTTTTTGCAGAAACTGAAGGTTTTATCTGTGCAATACAAGATGAAGTAATTAAAACGAACAACTACCTACTACTAGATACATTCTGAGGGACGGCACAGTTGACGTATGTCGCGCATGTCACCACCCTGGAGAGTCCCTCAGACATGTTATTTCCGGTTGTTCACAACTATCAAATGGTGAGTATTTGCACAGACATAACCAAGTAGCTAGAATAATACACCAACAGCTTGCCATTAAATTTGGCTTTACTCAACAGGACGTTCCATATTATAAGTATGAACCAAAGCCAGTCCTTGAAAATAGAAGTGTCACACTGTACTGGGATCGGTCAATTATCACAGACAGGTTTATAGTGGCAAATAAACCTGACATTGTGGTGATAGACCGAACTACACGCAAGGCAATAATAGTGGATATCAGTGTTCCTCATGACGAGAATCTCGTAAAAGCAAAGAATGATAAAAAAATTAAATATATCGACCTGGCTCATGAGATTGTCGCTATGTGGAACGTTGATTCTACTATTATTGTACCAATAGTTGTTTCAGTCAATGGGCTTATTGGTAAAAATATGGACGATTATCTGTCCAAGTTAGGTTTGGGCTAATGGCTGAAGGCATTAATTCAAAAATCGGCCTTATTAAATACGGCTGGAATAGTAAGAAGGTTCCTATCTTTGGATGCCTAACTTCACCGATGGCTTAGAATTCCTCGCCGCGGTGGATAATAACCGAAATAATAATATTATTTATATAGATTGTATTTATAATATTATAGTTTTGTGATAATATATGTGATAAAAATAAATAATAATAATGGCGTAGGGAAGTGACGACCCCATCGCCCGCTGACGTGACGGTTATGTGACAAAACCGCTACGTCCGCGCAGTCAGTCAGCACCTTGCCAAGAGGTGTGAGCGCCGTGCCTCGGAAAAAATTGATGGTGCAAGGGCCCGCTTGTGCATATGGCCTCACCATGAAACGGCGCCGGGTCTGGGCGTCTCCCGTTAAATGACGCCCTGTATGGATAATGGAACACAGAAGATTGCGCAAAGGGCCGCTGCCTGGAGGTCGTCAGGGCGCGTCTGGAGCTGGCGCTGGACGCGACAGCATGCGAACCGCCAGCCGAGCGCGAGGTGCTGCACGACCACCCAGCAGCCTCTCGCATCCATCATCCCCACCAGCTTGCTTGGTGTCGGCAGGGTCTTCGCAGACCCAGCAATCGGCACCCGCCACTGGTGGAGTACGCCGCATGCGATGGACCATCAATATGAATACAAACGCATTGCGGGCGTATTTTAGGGCGAAAGGGGGAGAAATTAGAGGTTTCGCGCATCGGGTTAGGATGCATCGTCTTTTTACTGAGCTGGAGCCATCTATTACTGTCACCGAGCAAAACCTGGCAGACCGAGTTCGGTATATCTTACGCTCAAATATATTTGATGGCGCCGAACTCGAACGGCTACGACGTGAGGCTGTTCCCTCATCAAATGAAAACGCTACGACTGGGGGTGCGGTGCCACAAGTTGCAGAACAACCCGCACACGTGGATGCCACCAAGAATACCCCAGTGGTTGCTGATTTAAATGATGATGGAACATTCACCCAGGAACTAGAAATAGAGCAAATGAGGAGTACATTGGAAGAGGCGATTATGGAAACGCGCAGTACGCCTCTCGAAAATCGACCGCGACTTCCCCGCATAGCCCTAAGCAAGCGGAATCGGGCTGTCGTGAGGGCTCTGAACCCAATGCTGGTGACCTATTTGGAAGCCAGCCGGGACCTTTGCGAGACGGACTCAATTCTCTTTGGCGCCGCACTGGCAGTCTGCCGTATTATAGGCGCCAAACTTTCCACGGCTGGACGCACTACTGGACAAAGTAGTGCTATCCCAGCCTGGAGAACAAGAATTGAAGAACGTATCGCAAAGGCTAGGGCCCTCATCGGCAGACTGATATGCTTCAGGTCAGGCAATACCAGGCCAAGGATTGTGCGCACCGTCAGGATGGCGTTTGCTGGGACAAATGTTAGTTTGTCCCAGCCGGATATAATGCAAAAACTGACGGAGCGCATAGACGACCTGAAGCAAAGAATCGCTGCTTGGGGAAAGCGAATTCGGCGATATACCGAGAGGTCGACACGGTTCAACCAGAATCGTCTCTTCCAGAGTGATCAGAAGAGGCTCTATAAATCATTGGAGCGACCAGTGGTAAGTGGAACGGGCCCAGTACCGAATCAGGCCGACAGGGTCGCATTCTGGCGCAGCCTGTGGTCAGAGCCCGTAAACCACAACGAGGGCCCTTAGACGGAAGTTGTGGCGAGTCAGTGTGCGGGTATTACGCCCATGGACCCCGTCACCATAACGCCGGATGACGTAGCTGAGGCGGTCCGTAGGGCCCCGAACTGGAAAAGTCCGGGACTCGACGGGCTGCATCACTACTGGCTGAAGGGGTTCGTGGTATGTCACACTGTGCTCGCCCGACAGTTTCAAGAGGTTCTCAACCGAAGTCGCTCCCGAGCCTCTTCACTACTGGGATCACCCATTTGGTTCCTAAAGGCCAGGGTACCACAGACCCGAGCAAATACCGCCCCATCACATGTCTACCGACCATATACAAGCCACTAACATCCATTTTGAGCGCTTTGAGTGATATCACTCGTCACCTGGACTCAAATCAGGTAATGTCGCGCGCTCAAAATGGATGTCGGGGCGGCGGTCGTGGAACCAAGGAACCACTCCTCATTGACGCGGTCATTGGCAAAGTGCTAAAACGCAACCGTCGGAACTTCTCCGCCGCCTGGATAGACTACAGAAAGGCATTCGACTCGGTGCCCCATACATGGCTAAAGAGATTCCTCGAACTGTACAAGATAGACTGTACAGTTAGAGACTTCCTCGAGCAGTGTATGGGGCAGTGGAGTACGATTCTTTGTCATCTGGGCGAGCGGATGATGGCTGCGGAGAACCACATAAGGATAAGAAGGGGTATCTTCCAGGGCGATTGTCTGAGTCCAATATGGTTCTGCCTCTCTCTGAACCCTCTCAGTACCTTACTGGAGGGCTCCGGGAGGGGATTTCAGCTTCGGAAAGGAGGGACAAAAGTGACCCACCTTTTCTATATGGATGACCTCAAGTTATTCGCCTCCAGTCGCTCCCATCTTATAGAATTGCTAAACATCACTTGTGAATTTAGCAATTCCATTGGAATGTAGCTGGGGACGGATAAGTGTGCGGTACTCCATGTTGAGAGGGGTAGGGTTGCTAACTCTGAGGGCATAGACTTATCTATGCCCGTCAACTTAAGGACCCTTTCCGCGGCTGAAACATACCGATACCTGGGTATGTCACAGAACATCGGTATCGATGAGGCTGGTATGAAACAGTAAGTTTGCGACGTGTTTTATGCACGCTTGACCAAAGTGCTTAACAGCCTTTTGTCCGGTGTGAATAAGACACAAGCATATAACGGCTGGGTCATGCCTGTCCTCATGTATACCTTTGGCATACTCAGGTGGACTCAGACTGAACTTAACGCCCTGGATAGAAAAGTCCGCACTACCATGACGTCCCACAGGATGCATCATCCGAGATCGTCGGTAATGAGGCTGTACTTGCCGCGAAAGCATGGTGGGCGTGGCTTTCTGAGCGCGCTCAACATGCATTATCGCGAAGTGTGCAGCCTTCGTAATTACTTCCTGACGAGATCGGATGATCCATTCTATAAGGACGTCATGTCTTGCGATAAAGGACTTACCCCTCTATCCTTAGCCAACGAGCAATGGCAAGACCCGGCAGTGCTGACAATTTCCGACCGGGAGACCGTATGGAAGGAGAAGGAGCTCCACGGGAGGTTCTACAAGTCTCTACATGGGCCTTTCGTAGACACAGTAACCTCCCTCCACTGGCTACGCTTTGGTGACCTCTTCGGGGAAACCGAGGGTTATGTCTGTGCAATACAGGATCAGGTTATTAAGACCAACAACTATCGGAGATACATCCTAAAGGATGGCACCATCGACATCTGTCGAGCTTGTCGCCATCCCGGCGAGTCACTTAGGCGTGTCATCTCCGGTTGTTCGGCGCTTTCTAACTCTGAGTACTTGCACAGGTACAACCTAGTAGCCAGAATTCTACACCAGTAGCTCGCTCTGAAATACGGTTTCGTGGATCGGAAGTTGCCGTATTACAAGTACTTGCCGGAAGCCGTGCTCGAAAATGATGGCGCCAGGCTCTATTGGGACCGGGCCATCATCACAGACAAGACTATTCTTGCAAATAAGCCTGATATTGTGCTGATGGACCGGGCACAGTCAAGGATATTTTTGGTCGACATTACCATTCCGTGTGACGAGAACCTCATGAAAGCCGAAACAGATAAGCAAACAAAATATCTAGACCTGTCTCACGAGGTGACCGACATGTGGGGTGGTCTGCCGACCGAAATTATTCCTGTAGTCGTCTCTGCAAACGGGCTAATCCCAGTCAGCCTCTCGGGTTATCTGAGGCGGCTGGGACTACGTGGCGGACCGCTCCAGGCTCAAATGCACAAGGCGGTGCTCCTCGATACCGCCCGCATCGTCCGCCGATTTCTTTCCCTTTCCCCCTAACCCTCGGCCGTTTGGTCTCCCCTGCCGAGGGCTTCCATCTGGTTGGGCTTTTATTTATTTATGTATTTATTTATTTATTTATTTTATTTTATTGATATTTATGTATATTTATCTTTTCATTTTCGTTTATAATTATATATTTATACATCCCAACCAGATGAGAAAACTATATAGATACCCCACATAATAATAATAAATATAATAATAATTTTATTTCAGATACAAGCTCCATAATTTGTTAGTAATAAATAATATAAACTTAAAATTAATGTTAATAAATATGCAACTAAAAAACAACAATGCTAATTTTATATTAAATATAACAGCTCTGGACCCCAGTATGCACAGTGTTCCAGTGCCGCATTACCGGACAATTTAACCTACCTAATACAGTACATTGGAGTCCGTTGGCACTGTATCGCACGCGTCGCATCAGGGAGGCCACTCTCTTCCGCATTATTGTATCAAAGCTGTCCGTGTTAGCCTCAACAAACATACCTGATGCGCTGCAATATCGAGACAGCCCCATTAGTATCCTAAAGCCATTATTATATTGAACACGTAGAGCATTTACGGATCTGCGAGTATACTTGACCCACAGGCTGCAGGTGTAAAATGTTTGGCAATACGCCTTAAAAAGGGTTATCTTGACAGCTTTTGTACACCTTGCAAATCTGCGAGCCAGCATGTTGCACCTCACTGCTAACGCTCTACGTTCTCGTTCAATATCCAAGTCATCAGAGAGTTCATCTGTAACCCAGTGCCCCAGGTATTTAAATTTGGTGACTCTACTTAAAGGTACTCCCCAAGCATGACCAGTGGGGTATCCTTGGGTTCTTTATTCTCTGCCTTGAAACAAGTAGTTCACTCTTTTTGGAGTTGTACCTGAGGCTTCCGCATATATCTCACATAAATTTATTAATGTTTCAAGTGCTCTGATCGAAGGGCTCAGCAGCACCATATCGTCCGCGTAACTGATGCTGTTTACGAAGTTACCATCTATTGAGCATCCGACGCCAGTTCTGCTAAGCTCATCGATCAATCCATTTATATATAGGTTAAAGAGCCTCGGTGAAGTTAAGCCCCCCTGTCTCACTCCACATTCCAACCTATATTTTTTTTATAGAAGAGGGGGCAAACGAGCATGCGGCTCACCTGATGTTAAGTGACTACCGCCGCCCATGATCAACCGCAACACCAGGGGAATTGCAGGTGCGTTGCCGGCCCTTTAGAAAGGAGTACGCTCTTTTCTTGAAGGTCCCCAGGTCGTATCGGTCCGGAAAAATCGCTGGTGGTAAACTATTCCACAGAGAGGTTGTACGCGGAAGAAAACTCCTCTTGAAACGTACAGTGGTGGACCGCCAAGCATCCAGATGATGTGGATGGTATGGCGACGTTTGCCTCGTATGGGATTAATCCGAACAATTCCTCAGAGTTAGAGAGATTCACTTGAGTATGAACATGCCCACCTTACATTATTTGATTGGTTGTGGTACCAATACCTTAATATATCGACTATCTCTCTAGGCGTACTCGTTTCCCTCCGAAGCTTATCCCATAATAGGTTGTACGAGACCAGGTCAAATTCCTTCGACAAGTCCAAAAAACAGGCGTAGACAGGCGTTTTTCTCGTAACATAATACTGGACGGTATGCTTGTGTCGCAAGATTGCTGTTTCAGTGGACAGTTCAGGTATAAACCCAAACTGTGCCTCATGTACCTGTATATGTTTACTTATTCGACGATCAAGCAAACCATCCAATACTTTGGCTATCACTGTAGCTAGCGAGATCGGTCTATAATTGTTCTTGTCGGCAGCATCTCCGGTCTTATTCTTTAGAACTGGTACCACTATGGTCTTCATAAGTTCCCTATAGAGCATAGTCAATACCCTAGGCAGATGAACTACCGCATACAGCAGGTGCTCAATACTGAGATCATCATGTCCAGGTGATTTACCACGTGTCATATTATTTATGACATTTGCGACTTCTTTCGCAGTAAATCTAGCAGATTCACTGCATGATTTCTCCTCAATATCGAACACCCGCTGCACCGGTCCCAATGGTTATTCCACTTTAAAGTGTTCCCTAAAAACTTCTGCGATATGATGGGGCTCACTCTTACCATCGATACTCGCAGGTAAGCATGATGCAGTTTCCAGCTTCTTTGTTTGTTTCCAAAACTCTTAAAATCTTTTTCTTTGTGATGAGTAGCCAAAATATCCATTTTTATTTGGTACTCATTGTCTTGACACCACTTAAGCTTTGACTTAAAACACCTCCTAGCTTCTCGCATTCTGTCATATACATAACCCGCACTGGGCTTACCATACAGCAACCACATTTGGAAACTGCATCGTGCCTCCTGATGGACCTCCCGTAAGTACCTATTCCACCCAACAACCAGTTTGTGTTTACTACGCTTTCTTATCTCATAGCTAGTTTCAGCAGCTTCTCTTAAGATGTAAACAATATTATTATACAACCTATCAATTGCAGTTCTATGATCTACATTTTTACACACTTTATCCGCACAAAAACTAAATTCTATCGGAAAATCAATATTTCTTAAATTATTATGACATATTTTACTGTATATGTTAATCTGATCAACGCTCTTCTCACCCCACTTCACCTTGTTACAACATTTTTCTTTATATTGGGTTTTAAATGACAGATTACCTATCTTAAAATCTACTTCCAGTGGAAAATGATCTGACCAATAAACATCAAGGCATACCTTACAAATTAATACGCATCACCAAGCTGCCTCTGTTAAATGACAGTGATCAAGCGATCTTCAGCAGTCCTTTTTAATGTCACTTATAAAAGTATATGTGTCTGATGTCATTTTTAAATGGACCACGTCTGCACAGAGCCACCTCCGCTCCTCACAGAAATTGGATAACTGATTATAGAATAATTCTCCGGCATGCGCATTTAGATCACCGAGAATAATTGCAGATTCAATTTCGCAACTCTCGATTACAGCGTCTATTTCACTTAACACCTCTGTAAACTCAATTAAATTATCTTGATTGTCTGTAGGCGTATACACCGAAAAAACCAGGAACAAACGGTTATTCGCACATATTTTAATAGCTGTCAGTCTAACTTTATTACATGGAACGATTGTAACTGACGAAAACACACTTTTCTTCCACATTATCGCCACCCCACCATAGGGTCGCCCACGGAGCATGCTGGTTGATGTGTCCACCGCTGACTTGCTCGTGAATTCAAAGTCACTGTCAATATTCCCTATATATGCAATGTCATGCGGTAATAACCATGTCTCCTGAAGAGCTATTACGTGTGCCGTCTTGCATAATTCCCTCACCCCGTCCACTGATCTCGTTACTGACTTGCAATTAAAACTAATAAGTTTTATACTGTGATCATCATTTATGTCCATACTATACTTTTTATTAACTTTTACCACTAGCCTCACTCAAGCCCGTAGCAGGTAATTTCCTGTCATTAAAATTAATAAATCGCCGAAACGATATACCTTCAGGCCAAAGATTCTTGTCCAGGAACATTTCCGTCATATGCCTGGGAACAAACACTTTATAAGACTTATAATCTTTTTGACGTTTCATTTTAATTTCCACCAACTGTACAGCAACATCGTTTTGCCTAAAATATAATCGTCAATGTCCTGGGTTGAAGTCTCTTTATCAACATTGTTTATAAACAACGGTCTTCTTATATTTGCTGCCTTAAATTTACCCGTAGGATCCTTCGACTGCCCCTATAACCCAATAAATCTGTTCCTAAGTCTTTTCCTCTGCACCGTAATCCATTCTTCATCCCTTTTATTCAGAAATTCGCCCCCTCCCCGTACTACTTGTCCGTACTGTTGTTCCGCTACACCTGTAGTTGAGGCCACCAGAGTCTGCGCGCACGCATTATTTTCGGACTGCGTCTGTGCGGAAACCGCAGTACTCGCAGACCTCCACGCGCATGCGCTTATCTATTATGTTTGTTTCAGTCGCTGTTGATTGCCCGGCAGGGACAGGTGCAACCGTAAGTGCATGCTGACTCATCGTGTGCGACGCATCCAGCATCCACATTGTGAGTCACACTGAGTTACTGTATTATTCTCAGCTATTGTAAATGCCGTTTGATTTGAAGTAGCCGTTTTTTCTACCTCCAAGTTTATAAAACCAAATGGCCCGCTATCCGATTCAAGGTTATCGTAATGTACTAAATTACTCGTGCCTCTTTTCTTATTTAAGGAATATAATGTTGTCATCAATGCACATGCCACCAATTATTGAAAGTAATAAGGAAACTACCAAGCCAGAAATTATTTTATATTATAATAAAACCAAAAATGGAGTGGACAACATGGATAAGCTGTTAGCAGAATATACCGTAAAAGCAGAACAAATCGGTGGCCTTTAGCACTTTTTTACAATATCATTGATATTGCAGCTTTGGCAGCATATACGATTTACATGGAACATAACCCACAATTGGCCTCGAGTGACAGACGTAGAAAGTTTTTGAAATCATTGAGTTTACAACTGTATGGTAAAAATATAGAACAGAGATCAAAAAATTGCATAGTGACATCAAAATTACATGTGCGATCTGCAATGCAGGACGTGCTTGGCCGAGAACTTAGGCCGTCAATTTCTTTTGGATCTGCAACTTCTATAAGTCAAACTAGACGAGATTCTACAGCGCATGTTGCAGTCGTCGGAAGTTGTTACCTATGCAGAGAACTCAAACGCAAGCAAAGAAAAACTCGAAAAGCTTGCAATAACTACAGAAAACCAGTTTGTGATGAACATGCAGTAACTCGTCCAATATGTAACATCTGCTTCGAGAGCTGTAATTAATACTGTATGAACAAAGAATTTGTAATTTTTATAGAAATAAAATACTTTGACAAATGTTTATTATTTAATTTTTGTACGAAATTAAAAATACTTTCCTCATAGTCACAGACACACAAAACACAAAGAGGTACCCGGGTACCTCGTTACTCGATTGTGAGTTCCAAATATGTTTTGGTTTCCACAAAACATTGTAAATAGTAGACTTGGTCAAAACATTAAAAAAATAATATGTAATTTATAAATAGTTAAGAGCTCTCAGGAAGTCACAGCTACATATAGGGCGTAAAACACACTTTTTTTAGAATTTGAAAATGCCAAAGGCACCCGGGTACCTCGTCACTCACATAAGGGTTAATGAAGATTCCGAATTATTTTTTTGAATCTTATGAATGATGATGGTTAAACACTGATTGTTCTTTCTCTTTCTGACTGATTTGTGAAGGTTATTGTTCTCTTTATATGAAATAAATAATACTTTGACAATTATTTTTGTGTTTTATTCAATACTTTAAATTTTATCAAAATTGTTTTGTAATTACATCCTCGAATGTTTGTAAACACGTTCGTATCCACGTACGTGGTTACAAACATTCACATTCAAATTTTAAATTTCTTATTTTATTTATAGTTTATCGACATATCACTAATTAATTATCAATTAGGTCACAACATTAGCGCACTCCTAAAATACTGTATTTTAACTACAGAATACACAATGTAGCTGTAACGTTATAAGCACTACGACCAACATTTCTTGATAAAGTCTGCTCCTCGTTCCGCTACCATCATGATAGCTGCTTGCGGGTTACCGGTGAGTTGGGTTGGTATCGCAGAAGCGTCGATGACTCGCAGACCTGTAAAATGATAGTGCTTCTTAAATTTTACAATCTTCGTAGCACATGCTATTGGATTATCTTTTGAACTTCAATATTATCAGCCTATCGCAGTTCAGTACTCAGGTTATATATAACTTTTTTATGGGTTTTAAAGATGGTGAAGTCCTCATCGATAATAATCTATAAGATGGATCACCGTATATTCTCCACCTACGCTTTATACTAATGTTTCCGTGGAGTTCATTGATGAATTAGTCTAGTATTGATCAATCCTAAAGATCCAACGTTATAAAATGATCCTTTTAATTTACTTATATTTATATAATTTTTTCATAATTAATGTAACTGGAGAATCTAGCGATACTGATTAGTGATTTAAGTAATTTTAAGAACATTTGTTTCCATTAAACGTAATTAAATGTTTGAAAAAAAGAATTACCCACTGTGAATACACCTTTACCCTGTAGTTGCACTGATGACTCACTATTTTCTTAACGCGAACGGACTATAGAATGGATAACGGGAATATTAGAAATGATGATGGCATTGCTGAATTAAAGAATTTATAAAGCTCAACTGAAAATTTCAAAATGCCGATGTGTTGTCACTTCCGTGGAATAAGGTAAGGTGAGGGTCATGTCCAGCAGTAGACTCTTATGCGTTGACACAGAAGAATAAGAGAAGATGTGTGGGGCTTATTTCCAATAATGGATTACGGGTCGGATCGATTTATTAAATATTGGTGTTAGCTCACTTTGTACGTTGTAGACGGAGAGAGTATGGTCGAGTACGAAGCCCATAGCGGCGGTGCCGATCTGGTGATTCTGAGGGTCGGTATTCAAGCGCGCTACGCACTCCAGCCACTTGTCCGACCACCTAGGTAGAAGTGCGCATTGCGATGTAAACTCCAAGTTCAATTTTATGCCGTATTTTTTACGAAGTATCTGAAAAAAATTCGAATAAATTATATACTCTTCCAAAAATACAAAAATAATGTCCAGAAGTTAAAAGTATGACAACGGGAGATGAAAAGGGTAATGTAAATTATCTAATTTACATTAACAATTATCAACAATCATCTGATTGTTTTAAAGATTCGAATGCGTGGACATAATGACTTATAATTATATCCAACATCCAAGAAAATGGAAAATGTCTTAGAATTTCCTATATGGAAGGAGCAAAGAGCAAGAAATATGGAGGTTTTAAATGGCCACAATTCTGATGAGTGTGCGCAGAATTTGTACCAGACGCTCCGCTCGTCTCAACCACTTTATTCTTTATTGTCGATATTTCACGAATTCGAAATAACGGTTTTTTATCGTTTAATATTGCGTACACCATAGAAGCGAAATAAATCTATTAATATTTATGTCTATGAAACCATTAAAATACTCAATGAAATGACAGTAGATTGAACCGGGTCGCAGATTGAATAAAAGGAAATGTATCAACATGGAATCATATAAAGTTCTCTGCTCCCAATGCAGTGGAAAAAGTAGTAAAGTACATTTTTAGTGTTTCGCGATGATATCCTGGAAAATGGAAGAAGCTTAGCCAGTGCGCAATTGTATGAAATGGATGAGGCCTAAAGGATAATCTTATTAGTAAAGCTTTTAAAGTCATATAACTTTATGTAGTAAAAAACTGGTACATAGTAATTAAATGTGTAATGAAAATTGCCAATAACGCCCAAAGAGGTGAATTAAAACTCCGATTCCCAATATCTAATTAATAAATAGAATCACGAAATTAAATAAAGCTAGCTAAAGGTCAAAAATATTAAGAAAGAAAAAGTACGTTAAAGAACATGAGATACAAATTAAGAATTAACAATAAAAGGCCTGACGATCGTAAAACAAAGAAATCACCATCTCATTTTCTTTTTCTATTAAGTAGGTACAATAATCCACAAGGAAATATAACAATTAAAATGTGAATAAGGATTCCGTACCAACCAAATTAAAAAGTAAGATATTGTATTGCATTTCTGTATTAGGGTGATAAATATTAAATACCTAATATAATCTTCATATTACAATCATATAGCAAATACTTTTTTATCCTTAATTGTAATAAGATAGGAGAGTAAGCCGTCTGTCTATTTTTTAACTTTAAGAGGAGTATTACAAAAAAACGCGAAATTACAAGGTTTCCTCGCTGAAATTATATGTTTTCCGTTCGTTACTTGAAATAACAATTAATAAAATATTTAGTTTTCTCTTCTACAAGAAGCTCAAGGCAAATTTTAGATTTTTTTACTTATTTAGTAATAACCATACTCCCGATGCATGTTTAGGCCAAAACTCTGAGAGACATGAGCTGAGCGCTAATTTGTAGAATCTATTGAATATAAAAAATATTTTTATATCACAAATACTTTAATAATAATAAAATACATTTTAATTGTATGCCTTGTACGTAAAGAAAAAAATCGACATAATTCAATTATATACCGAAAAAGCTACGATACAAGTCCCAATATCTCCGAAGTTCTACATCATTTTGACGTAGAATTTATACCAAAATATTCATCAACATTTGCTTAAACTATACTATCGTCGGCCGTCTGAAGCCGGATTTACATTTGTCTGACGTGTTGTGTTGTGACGCATCAGAATGGTTTCGGTTTCATACATTTAGTATGGTGAGATTTATATTTGTGTGTCGCGATCTGTTGTGATGGCTTCTGATGCGACGCATCAGACGAGATTCCGATCGCATCAGAGGGGTGGAGGTGGGTGGGCGGGGGAGCGGCCGCCTGGCGACGCAGCAGACAAGTGTGCACGCGACAGTATTGCGTTGAGACGCGTTAGAGCTACGTGCGTTTTTTGTTTATCCACTCGATTTAAAGTTTTAGAAAAGAATTTAAAGTATGGAGGACTTGATAGAAATAGTACGACAATATAAAGTGATTAATGACACCAAATGTAAAGAATATAGGGACCAATCCATTAGAGCATCTGTTTGGGAGGAGATAGGAGAAAAAAGTACCTTTTTTATTAAACCCAAGCTGTTTCTGCAGTCCCTGGGGACTTGCAAAATATGTTTTATATGCTTCACGAACTTGAATAGCTTCTTGAGATGGATTTCTATTTAACGGGTCGATGAGTACTAAGCCATTACCGTCGCTCACCTCGCTTTCATCCATCAAAGTATCTTGTGTTTCCTGTGTGTCTTGGGTCAAAAAGTTATGAAGGCAGCAGGCAGCAAGTACGATCTTGTCCGCCATGTTTGGTTGTACTTGTAAAGATCCCTGAAACACTCTCAATCTAGCTCGTAATATTCCAAATGCATTTTCTACAGTACGGCGAGCACGTGATAAGCGATAATTAAATATTTTATTTGGGTTATTGTTAACTAATTTAGCTTTACTGTACGGTTTTAATAAATACGTTTTCAGTGGGAATGCCGCGTCTGCCACAATAGTGTAGGGTAAAGGTTCTGTATTTTGGTTTATAGGTTTATTCGGTGGCACATTTAATTGACTGCTTTCAAACATTTTTCCCATTAACGACTCTTGGTAAATGCCATCATCACTATTTCTGCCATACGCTCCTACATCTACCATAATAAATCTGTAATGCGCATCAACAAGTGCAAGCAGTACAATAGAATGCTCATTTTTATAATTATAAAAAGTGGATCCTGCATTTATTGGACATATTATAGAAATATGTTTTCCATCCAATGCTCCAATACAATTCGGAAAATGCCATACATTTTCGAATCCTTTCGCAATCTCTCTCCACATTTGTTCTGTAGGCTGGGGCATTACAATAGGGGCCAAATTCTTCCAAATTGCGTTACATACTTGTTCTACTATGATCTTTACTGTAGCAAACCCCATACGGTAATTGAACCCCAATGATCGAAAAGATTTTCCAGTTACCATAAATCTGTAATATAAAAACACAGATAATTTATTTTTGTTTCAGCGGAAAAATGTAAAGATGACCGGAATAAATTACGAAATAGCTACATCAACGCATTGAAACGCCGTAAAAATAAAAAAAGTGGGCAAGCCGCTCAATTTATCCCGCCATGAAAATATGAAGAACAAAGCCATTTATGGAATCAAGGTCGACAACAACAAATCTTTCATCACCTCCTGAATCTCCAGAATTTCACTCAGAAAGTACTCAATCAGACAATTCTCGTCCAGCAACACCACATACTGGTAGTTCCTCGCACTCCCAACAGCCTGTTAGAAAACCAAACTTACAGGATATATATGATATGATGAAGTCTTCGCACGATTTGAGAATCCATAAGCATCATTCAAAGCAGCAGCAGGATAATATGACGGATGAAACAGACTTGTTTTTTCTGAGCATGAGCAAAGCAGTTAAAAAACTTCCGAAACTAGATCAGACCAAAATAAAATTGGATTTGCACACTGCTGTATCACAAGCTGAAATAAGGAAACTTCAGACACAAGCACAAATTCTTAGAACACCAATTAATGTGACTCACCAGATAGTTACTCGGCCACAACAACCGCTGCCACTCCAGCTACCCATTCAACCATCCACATCCATGACGACATTTCCAGCAGTCCCAGCTACACCAACTCTCGACAACATCAACTCTCAACAATCGGCCTCAACACTTTATAATTTTGAAGAAGATAACATCTCATCATATTATAGCAATGCAGACTTTTCTGATGATAACTGATTACCTGTCTTTACTAATAATGTTAAAAAAAACAAATAAATCCTTACCTTAAACACACAGCAAGTCTTTCTTTTGTCCCTATAGGTTTACGAAACTTCGTATGTATTTTTTTATGTCCCCTTCAATCAATGAATGAACTTCCTCGAACTGTGCCTTGGACATTCTAAAATACTGATGAAATCTTTGAGCATCGTTCTCAATCTCTTTAACGAGACAGTGAAACTCGCCTTTAGACTCTCTTTTATTATTCACTGGATGAACCCAATATCTTTTTCTCTTTATTTCTTTCTTTTTTATAAGAGTTGCCAGCACCAAAAATTCAATATCTTCTTCATACTCTGAATCAGAGTCGGATGATTCATGGGAAAACATTGCAAACGTATGAACTCTCCGAGAGCTATGACTGTATTGATTCAAAATATCGTCAGAGGCCGTCAGAACACAACATAAAGATGTGAACACTAGTCATCACGTCAGAGCCCGTCACGACACAACACGTCAGGCAAATATAAATCCGCCTTTAGACAATGTCCTGCTTTTGTTAGGCTTTTTAAATTTAACCATTTTTTTTACATTATTCATATACTTACGTACATACTATTGCAATTATTGAAATTAATATTGTAACGAATTGAATAATTAAAAATAAAGAAGACTGATTTATTCAATTGTTGTTATTTCGTTAGAACTTAAGATTTTACAGTAAATGATTAAAAGGCCTTTTTACCAAAATGTCCGGCTAAGCTGACAAGACCTGACAACCCTAACCGTGGCGCTGTGTTCATGTGTTAGAGCATCGTCAACTACGGCCGCAATTTTAATCGTTGGAATATATATCAATTAGTATAAAGTTCGCACATTATTATTATACCATATAGATATCTCAATTATTTTATTATAGTTACTGAAAATTTCGGGAATCAAGGAAGTAACACAATATTACTATTTAAAAATGTATTAATTGCTTTTCGAAGTATTCTCCGCGAAATTTGACATATTTTTCCATACGATGGAACCAATCATTGAAGCAACCATTCCATTCGGAAGTTGGGGTCACTAAAATGGCCGTTTTATAGGCGTCCACAGGTCCTCTTCAGGTGATGAAAATCTCTGTCTACGCAATTTACTCTTTATTTTAGGGAAAGTATAGAAATCATTAGGGCTTAGGTCGGGGCTGTACGGGGGATGGTCTAGTAATTCTATGTTTTCTTGCTCTAAAAACTCTTTTGTTCTGTGTGCGGTGTGAGAACTTGCATTGTGGTGATGGGAGGATGATGCGGCGGTTGCAGTTCTCTTTACGGAGTTCAGAAACGACCGGTGGCAAACAAATGCTAGCATACCATTCTGCATTAACCGTTCTTTGTCCCTCAAGAGGAATAGTCGTAACATGGCCGGTTTTGGAGACAAACGTGGCCACCATTTTTTTTTGCAACACACCGTGAACGAACAATTTTTGTTGGCTTTAACTCATTTTCAAACACCCAAACTCGTGACTGGTTGTTTGTTTCGGGTTCGTACGCGTATATCCAGGATTCGTCACCTGATACGATATTGTATACAGCATTTGAGGATCCTGCGTGGAATCTTTCGAGAGTTCTGACGCACCAAGTAAGGCGAGCCGCTTTTTGCTCTTCACAGAGCGAATGCGATATCCATCGGGAAAACAACTTTTTTACACCTAATTGTTCATGCAAGATTATTTGTATTTGACTCATGCTAACGTCTAAAGTTGCCTGAATTTCGCGGTATATCACATGTCGATCTTCCTCAATCAGCTTACGCATAGCATCAACGTTTTCTTGAGTGACTGCAGTTTTTGGACGACCTTGACGGGGATTGTAGTTTTGGATGGGGCTTCATCACCAAATGCAGAAATCACCCGGTCAACACACTGTTTTTGTGTTAAACCACTTCGAAAGTCATAATAAATCATCGCTCTTGAATTTTCTCGAGACAATTTCATTTTCTCAACGACTAAACAAGTTTGACAAAACCTTGTGACATGACCGAGAATCTTTTTTTAAATAAATAAATGGTATTCGATTTTTAAAACCAAGGAGTTTTCAATTAAAAAGATTTTAATATGACAGGAACCGTGGAAATATTCTACTTTTCCTGTCATATTAAACTACTACTACTTTTACTGCAGCTACTTTAGTGCAGCCTGTGTATTTTGATTGTAGCTGAGCTTTCTTAACAGTCGGAATGGGGAAAAATAAGTACATGTATCAATGTGTCACTAAAAATCTACAAAGATGACAAATTTTGGATTTTGAATATGTTACCCAAGTTACAAGCGTTTTATAAAAAGTGTGTACCGCCAGAAATTCTTGACTCGAGATAAGTTCGGTCAGGTCGGCAAATATTTTTATAATAAAAATATGGTAATTGCCTGTAAGTACCAATAAAAAATATTAGTAACAGTTGGTTATTTCATTTATTAAAACAACTTGCTATGCTACCGTTAATAGATATAATCGATTATTAACCAACATCTGTTAACAATCGATTACTGTGTACAAATTAAAATATTTATGTGTACTTATTTCAACACTATGGTTCATATATAATGTAAAAATATATCAAATAGATTATAATAAATTAATTAGATACCATAAAAATGACACACCAAAAATTTTCCATCCACTGAATTCCATCCTAAGAAAACTTGTATAATGGAAGATCAAGATCGTTTAGTCGCTATACTCACAGTAACATAGTGCGAGCGAATGAATAGAGATATGAAATAAAATAAAATATCATCCGCTCGGAGCGTAAAATATCTAAATTTGCCAAAAGCCGAAATGTATTAGGGCTCTTAAAGTAATTATATAAGATATCAATATATAAATTACAAGATATATTTATATAATATTAATAATTACACTATAAAGAAATATGAATCAATTAATAATTTTAAGTTTTTTTAATAAGGAAGGAGTATGTAGGTAGGTAGGATAATACTGTAATTAAATACTTTTTCTACTGAGAACTATATTTGAGACTTTATTCGATGTAACTCGAGGCGAAGATTGATGATCACAATACAAGATCTTATACATTATTATCGTGGTTGTGGCACGAATAAGTCGGCTTGACCAGGAAAGGACCGCAATCTCACAAAAAACTAGCGTAAAATAATGCTGCTGTTTTTCATGTGGTGAGTGTAAAGAAGCTGAATATTTTTCGTATTTTCTAAGTGCATATCATTTATTTTTATAGTATAAGGGTGGCAAATGAGCACACAATCCACCAGATCTACAGGCCCATAGACATCTACATCTATCCCCAATTATAAATCAAAATTCAGATGCGTTGTCACACGTGAGATAGAAAAAAAAAACTAAGATAGAATGCGTCGTTTCAAGTAAAAAGGATCTCCGGTTCTCTACACTCACCTAACGAAACACAGCAGCATTAACCCGCTATTTGACGCTTGTATTCTGTGAGTTTATCTTCGTTACTTAGTTTAACTTTAGATTCTATATTAAACGGATACAACATTCTCGGTGTTTAAGTAATCCTAAGTGTCGTGAAGTGAAGAATGCGTGCGATTGAAATCAGTCAGTCAGTTAGTCACAGCTAGTTGTTACTATTCGTTTAAAGGAACTATGAATTCAATACTCACATCACTTTTAATTATACTGTGCGCGTGATTTGCGCCGTCTTTCACCATCACCATATCATCAGGATGCGAGAAGTACTCCGGGTAGAATAGAGGAGGCACCAAAGGATCGCTAGAGTTTAGCATTATGTAACCAACGCTGCGAGGTAGTAACGCAACAGCGTTCACTCTGGAAAGAATCGACGTAGTATTAAATT